CGTTCACTATACAGGGTCGGAAAGTCCCCATGGTTCATCGACCGTTACCTGAGAGCGATAAAGAAAGTCAAAGTCATAGAAATCCGTGCGATAGAGAAAGGTGGCTATAATGAAGGCGTCTAATAGTTACCGCCCATTTTGCCCTTCCACAAATAAGATCCACTTCTTATTTGTGGAAGGGCGAAATGGGCGGTCACTATTAGACGCCTTCATTATAACCATCTTTCTCTATCGCACGGATTTCTATGACTTACTTTATCGCTCTCAAGTAACGGCCGATGAACCATGGGGACTTTCCGACCCTGTATGTACTTCAAAACTTGTGTGAGGGTGTTAATTATACAGCGTGTCCCACTAGTGCGGGAAAGTCCAATATCTATGTTAAAATGAGGAATATATGGATTTGTCTTTTTACTGCGTTGTCACATTTCTCGGAATGTATAAATTAAAAATATATTCAACTATACAGGGTGTTCCACTTTTCCTGGCCAGACACCAACTTTGGTTTTTTAAATGGAAACACATTTGTTATATTTTTTCTACATAAAAAATAAAGGGTACTTTGTGTAGAATAGTTCTATTCAAATATTCACAGTTTTTGAGATATCTCGCTTGAAAGGTTTTTCTAGTCGATATTGGCTGCTTACATTTTCTGATACTGACAGGTTATACTAATAGCTACTAAGCCCATTTTTTTATCAGATGTTTAGTAAGGATGACTCTTCCGAATCATGCTCCAAAAACTGGCCTGCGTTATACAGGGTGACCAAAATATCATGTCAAAATTGCCAATTGAAAAATTGAAAAATCTCGATTTTTTTAAATGCAACGCCCTGTATATTTTCATACCATGAGATGCAGAATTAAATTCTCTACAACTTTGCTATACCTGCTCCTATACCAAAATTCATTAGTTTTTCATGAAATCTCATTTCTATGAAAAAATGCGAAGTTTACAAATAGCTTATATGTAAAATAACGTAGTAGGCTCCTGTCAAAGGATAATCTGGAAAATTTTCGATTCACATAAGGTTTAATAGAAAAGCGACAGTAATAATTGTGAAATGAATTACTCTAAAGAAGAATTAGTAAATAAATAATAGAATAATTAGTAAAACTCATGGTAACTGTTTATTGGCAAGTCGTATTTACCAAACTAATAATCCAGATTTACAAAGATATCCTCGTACAAAGTGTTTTGTAAAACTGAAGGAGAGGTTTGAAAGAACAACAAATGCAAATTATGAGAAGACAACAAGAACACACGCATGCAGTATCCAAAACAGTAAATTAACATCGTGCATTTCTAACAAAAGTAATAAAGACCTAGTTAAATTAGTAATTAACAGGTAACCGCTCAAAATGTCTGCCATTTTTCTATAGACATTGAGCAATTCTACGACGAAAATTGCTTGACACATTTCGCAGCATTTCCGGAGTTAGGGTCAAAAAAGCATTTCTTATCTTTGCCCGTAAATCTTCTACATCTGTCGGAGGAGTTTCATACACCCTGTCTTTTATATAGCCCCATAAAAAAAAATCAAGACAAGACAGGTCTGGGGATCGGGGAGGCCATGGAATTGGACCGCCTCTACCTATCCACTTATCTGGATACAAACCATTTAAGTATTCTCTAACCTGAAACAGTTTTTCTATGAATTTACATAACTTACATAATGAGAAAACTTACCGCCAGTGTGGAATGTGCAGGGGCACCATCATGTTGGAACCACTGACTGTTTAAGTCATCCGGAGGAATATGTCCCTGCAATTGGAGCAAGTCGTTTTGTAAAAATTGCAAATACCCATTACCAGTTAAGTTTCCTTCAAGAAAATGTGGTCCAATGACATATTCTCCGCATATTTCCGCCCAAACGTTGACTTTAAAGCGGTGTTGATGATCGTCTTGTCTTATTATTCTGGGATTATGATCGGCGTAATGGTGATAATTATGTCGATTCTCTCGACCAGTATTGGCAAAGGATGACTCGTCAGTAAATAACACCTTTGAAAAATAATTCATCTTGTTGTAGCTTTATAGTTGCCCACTCACAAAACTGTACTCGCTTCTGAAAATCTTGCTGTGTTAAGAATTGGTGATACTCAGAATGATAGGGGTGGAAGTTGTTTTTCTTTAACGTTCTATTAACCACACTTTGAAAATACTAATTTCATCACTAATTTCTCTGACACTTGTAGATGGATTTTGGACTGCACATCCCAAAATGCCAATTTGACTATTCTAATTACTGCATGCGTATGTTTCAGTTTTACAAAACACTTTTCTATGAGGATATCTTTGTAAATCTGGATTATTAGCTTGGTAAATACAACTTGCCAATAAACAGTTACCATGAGCTTCTCCTACGGCATACACCACATTTACTAATTTTTCTTTAGAGTAATTCATTTCACAATTACTGCTGTCGCTTTTCTATTAAACCTTATGTGAATCGAAAAATTTTCCAGATTATCCTGTGACAGGAGCCTACTGCGTTATTTTACATAAAGCTATTTGTAAACTTCGCATTTTTTCATAGAAATGAAATGATGAAAAACTAATGAATTTTGGAATAGTAGGTATAGCAAAGTTGTAGATAATTTAATTCTGCATCTTATGGTATGAAAATATACAGGGGGTTGCATTTAAAAAATTCGAGATTTTTCAATTTTTCAATTGGCAATTTTGACATGATATTTTGGTCACCCTGTATAACGCAGGCCAGTTTTTGGAGCATGATTCGGAAGAGTCATACTTACTAAACATCTGATAAAAAAATGAGCTTAGTATCTATTAGTATAACCTGTCAGTATCAGAAAATGTAAGCAGCCAATATCGACTAGATATTTGGATAGAAGTATTATACACAAAGTACTCTTTATTTTTGATATAGAATCCGAAAAAAATATAAAAAATGTGTTTCCAGTTAAGAAACCAAAGTTGGTGTCTGGCCAGGAAAAGTGGAACACCCTGTATAGTTGAATATATTTTTAATTTGTACATTCCGGGAAATGTGACAACACAGTAAAAAGAAAAATCCAAATATTCCTCATTTTAACATAGATATTGGACTTTCCTGCACTAGTGGGACACACTGAATATTAACCATAAACAAAATGATCAGTCAATGATTTTGTGGAGCAACGTCCGTCAGTCAGCCAAAAAAGGTATCGGCCATGGCGGCTCGCTCTTTTCCTTATTATTATTCAATGAATTATTTTCAAATTTTATTTTAAAATATAATTTTTAATAATATTAATAATATACATCTTAAGTACATTGAACAGATCATTTATTTATTTATTATAATTTAATAAAATTGTTCGGGCTGTCATTATGAAAGAAATAATGAATATTTTATGTAAACAAATATTATTTTCTATTTATATAATTACAGCAGTTGTATTTGTTTTTTAGATTCCCAATCCGAAACTCAATCGGAAACGACAAAGCTTGATGTCGGAATAAGAATTTGATTACCATGAGTGAATTATTGTAACAATATTATTTGTAATGTATACATATATGTATATATATATATAAATGGTCAATATAATTTTTTCACTAATTTTTCACAGATTTTTCAATATTTCTATGCATTTTTTGTGTTTTCAAACTATCTAATGCTCAAACTCTAATATATTTTTCATATTCTTTGCTGGATACCGTATTGGTTCGTCTTATTGATGTATTTTTATTTGCCAAGAGGATAATAAATGATCAACTTGCTTAACTTACGAATTGGTTGAGGACACGGCTGAAGCTGTGGTGGCACCGGGCAAGGCATTGGGGCTGGACAAGGCGAAGGTGGTTGTGGTGATGGAGTTGACGCTAAAAAAAAACAGGACCCAATTAAATTCCGAATTAATAATGAATACTCTTATAAAGTGCAAATAGCCCATAAATTAATTTTCCAAGCTATTATTGATTTTAATAATAATAATAA